ACAATTCTGACTCTACTATCTGAGTGTTGCAGCAGAAACTGTGACTCATCACACATGATGAGTATCCCTCTATGTCTTTGTCTCTGCATCAGTGTATCTATTATCAGTGTATCTATTATTACATGCAAATCTTACAGATCTATGCTTATAAAGGTGTTGTCCATTGGCTAATTAGGCCAAAAGCCAAAAGTGTGTGTAAATATATATCCCATCACATCAAAGCATAAAGTTTACACACAAAACACTTTACAAACTCCACTAATATTGGGATTTAAGATAATAATCAGGCATCTGTTTAATGTCTCATGTATTTTGTTATCTAATGAGTTTTCCATTAATATTAAACATTCCAGCCCGCACATGTAGGGAAGCTGCCCTCTGTGCCCAGAGAAGTCCATTCAGGATGAAAGCATCAATGAAATCAATGAAACATAAATGTATTATAAGTGGCATAAATTAATCAAGTGTAGCTAATTTTGCACAACATTTAATGAGCCTACTTGTGTCAGTTACACCTTATTTAGTTTATCACCTGTTAAGTGATTAATACGCTACACCTTCTTAAGCACCTTCCCCACTTTGAAGTGAGTCACGATGATGTTTGATTACATATTTCAAGCTGTTTTCAACTTGAAGTTTTGAACAACTTTTTTTAATCCGTCTCAGGGCCAAATGAGCAAACTTGAGGCAGACGCAATCAACAGGCATTAAGTAGACAACATTTCTTCTTGGTTTTCAAAGTGAAGTTGTGTTGAGAAATAGTCAAACCTCACCGCTTTTAGGTTTGTTTACCACACTTGAGATGATCTCTGCTCTTTAATCTACACTCGCCGGCCAGCCCCACGGTCGAGAATACGTCAATCAAAACTACAGCTAGGGGTGCCGGACATATCAATCCGCAACAATATCGTGATAGCGCAGAGCTTTATATCCCTTGTGGAAATGGTTGAGCAAATTCAATTTAATCCAAATGAGTTCAATTATTATTTCATGCAGTGTAATTTGAGAAAATATAATATAGAGTCATCATTAATATACTGTAGCTCAACATTCAAGTCCTGAATGAGTTTCTAAAATCAGTCATGGCTGAAATTTAAGCCATTTTGAAGTTTCACAAAGGTTTCACTGTGGCCTTTGGGCCTTTCCTCAAAGTCCCCCACTGCAAAGCAACGGAAAGAGTCTGAATTTATTCATTCATTCTCTTTGTTTTCCTACAGCCACAGCCAATCGCTGCTTGTAACCCTGTTAGAAGAGCGCTGCACTGCACATCGGAAATATGAATTCAGCTGCCAGTTGCCTACATTTGGTGCCAATATCTAATATTTCTCTCCAACTTCCCAACACAAGTTTCACTGTTTCTCTCAAATTGTCTCTTATTGGCAGCACGGTGAAGTCTACTGAAACGCAAACTAATTAAATTGTGATTTATGAGTTAGAAAGTCTCAGAGGCAGAGTGACCCGTGTTCCATCTATTCAACAGCAGGAAAACTGAGGAATACATTACTTGGTTTAAAAGCAGGACTAATTTACTATAACGTCATTAGACAGCTAAATTACTGGAGAAATGTGTAAAGAGAGCATATTTCTTTATTTATGAGGGGAGCTGGGGGTCACATGATCAGCAGCGGGCTTGACTGTGGAATCGGCTCCATTTAGAAATCGTTTGATTCAGGTGAGGTGAACAGGAATCAATAGCAATGTTCTCGCTTACAAAAGCGCAGCCTCGATATGCCAGCGCTCAACACGCTGCCCTGGAGGAGAAGTCTGAAACACTGCAGCTGTGTTTATGTGCACGTGTGACAAAGAGACTAATAAAGAAAAACATTTTTTGCCTTTTCCTGTATCATTTCATGTTCATGAGATAGGTGCCTTACAAGCAATTACTTCAGCTGTCAACTGTTCGTTTGAGTGAACTCAAAAGTTGGAAAGGTCAAGCTGAGTCTGTGTTTGTTCCAAAGGTGTATCGCAGACAACGCTCACATTACAATACAGTTTTGCATATAACTTTACAGACATTCACATTATCTGCATACTTGGCTGATTTTTTACATACTTCCTGAGAAACAAAAAAGGTTCAGATGCAAAATATGGCAACATGTTGATCCATCAAAGGCCCTCCTTACAAATCAGGAAATTCACACTATGAAAAAGTAATTATGAAGAAACAAAGTTTAATTGATCAACAACAACACTCACTCCACATTCAGACAAGAGTGTTACCACATCAGCCTTATTTATCAAAAAATGATGTCTATGCCATTTATGTGCATGCATATAATAATTATATACTGTCATAACATGCCTTGCATGGTGGACTTACATCACCCTCCACCCTCCGCTGACTGTGCCTTGCAACCTCTTGCCCTATGACAGATGGAATAGACTCCAGCTCTTTGTAGCCCTAAACTAGATAAACAGAAGAAAATGGTTTAAAAAACAGAATAATAGACAAAAAGAAAATTCAAGCTACCAAGTTTCTCATAGAAGACAGAACAGGAAGGACAGGCCAGGGTAAAACTGTGAATACTGACACAATTTAAACATTTTAACTGTTTTTCTAGTGTGAGCACATCTTAAACAGGTGTCATAAAAACACCCATTCAGTGTAAAACTGTTTGCCAGGTGCCTTTTCATAGTTCTTCCTATTTTTCCCATGCAACTTTACAGATTTAGCTATGAGGGCAGCCAGACTGGGCCTGAACACAACCTGTGGAGACACAGACAAAAGAATAAAGCTAAGCATGCTGCTCTGCTACCTGTTGGGTTCACTGTGTGCTGCAGACCAGACAAGAAAAGTCTGATAAAACTTACTGGCGTGATTCATTGTAGAAGGCGGAAGACTCAGGGTTTTGCAGTCTATTTTAACGTGTCTAAATTAATGAGGCATGCCTTTCAAGGTTGTTTAAAAAATAGCTCTTCTTATCAAGAACTTTGGCTTGTGAATGCAATTTTAAGCAGAATGTGTTTTATAAAGTTAGTGTCTTATAATTACATATTTCTACACTGTTCGCATAGTGGACTTGTATTCTGAAGACATTTAATTCTATAACAATGAGAAATACAATGCCATGCCTCTTGCAATGCAGTGTAAGTAATGTTTTTAGACAAGCTTTAATAAATGTGAAAGTATCCCTCAAGTTTTCATCCATTTCTAACAAAACGTGCAGCTGACTGTGGTTAAAAGTGCTACACCCATCATCCTCCTTCTGGGTATCGTGAGGAATACAACTGGGCAGTGTCCAATTTTTTCAAGTTACGCAAATGTATAGAAGAGTGCTTCTAAAATTACATTTAAATACCAGTTACAATCAGGTCCACACTTTAAAAGAAGAAAAAAAAACTTGGATAAAAAACCTTTCAATTCATTTGATAAACAAATTGTCAGTGTGGATATCCTATGATTTGATTGAAATTGCTGTTGCATCAGATTGCCAATTACGACAAGTGTGTGATTACACCGATCGCTTTCAAAATGACCATCCCTGAATGTGCTGTCACTCTCGCACATTTAATTAAACCAATCAGAGAGTAATGTTCGCCTCTCAACTAGCCATCACACAAACACAGAGCCTCTCTTTCAATTGGCCATGCGCCTTTTATTGGACACATAACACATTACTGTGGGTAAAGTTTTATCTGAATACCTATTTCAAGCCAACTTTGGAATAGAGAATAAACACTAAAGAGTACTTTGAAAAGTAACCTTTTGTTTTTAGGCTTTTTTTGTTAAATTTGTGGTGATGAGTGGGGAAAAAATGGCACGATTAAGAAGTTCACTCACTCTGCTCATTACGGTGAATAGAAGACCATTGTGTTTAAAGAACATTTGGTTTCTTGTTGTGCTTTAAATGTTTTAAATGACTGTGTTAACTGACTGACTGTGACTAGCAAGTTTCAAACTGTCACAGATCTGTGTGATGGCGAGTGGAGAGAGGGAAACAAAAGATCAGAACAGCGTGCAGAAAAATCAATTATCTCTGGAAGAAGAGCATAGTGGTAAAAGCACAAATGGAGCTTCCACTTCATGTTTTATCACCTTTTCTCTGGACATTGTTTTAATTCATTTATTTTATGAAAATAACACAAACTGTGAAAACACACATTAAACATCTGTTGGTTATTCATCCCATATTTGTAGTGGCAGGTTTTGCTTCTTTATTTATTCGTTTATTAATTCAATTGTTTGTTTTTTAATTTAAATCTTAAATGCCGGTGCCATTGTTAGCCAAATGGTTGATGTGTTGTTTCTTGGCTAGATGTTAAGTTAATGTCACGATTGTCAGTAGATGAAGGATGTGGACCCAAACGCAAGCACTGATGACAGTGTAGTTGTGAGAGAGTTTATTAATAAAGGAAGACAAAATACAAACCAAAGCAGAGCATGGCAGGGAACTACACTAACAAAACCTAAACTGGGAACAGCTACAAAATAAAAATACAAAAAACAAAAACCATGTGACTAGAAACTTGAAAACCTGAGATGTTGAACCTGGAACATGGAGAGACACATGGAGAAATACAGGGGATGACACACAGCCATGGAACACCGAAATCGGAAGACTAAGAACTTCAACAGTAAAAAAAAACCCAAACCAAGAACTGATCAATCACGACAAAATCAAAGTTCAATAGTAATACAGAGAACAAAACACTGGGTCACAGGCCCAGGACCGTGACAGTTAACCATTAAAACAATATTAAGACAACAACTATAAAGTACATAATGTGAGATTAGATATATCTGTTCACCATCACATTAATGTGCATATTTATTCAGCCAATCACAGTCAAGAGGACCTGCTGAAGTTTAAAATGAGCACCACAATGGAGAAGAAAGGGGATTGAAGTGACTGTGAACATGGCGTGGTTGTTGGTCTGTGTATTTCAGAGGCTGCTAATCTACAACACTTTCCCACACAGCCATCACTAGGGTTTAGGTAGGTAACTAGGTAACTCAAATAACCACTCTTTGCAACTAAGGTATGTGTCATGGTCTGGGTGAGTGCCTGTGTTTTTCCATAGAGCTGGCAGTTCCACCTCTGGGAGGAGCCACCTCGTTCCTGCATGTTTTCCACACCAGCTGGTAACAAAGCTGTCAGTATTTAGGTCCAGCGTTCTCAGCCATTCTTCGCCAGATCTTCAGCTAACCTAGTTAGTGTAGGCTGTCACAGCTTTGCAAAACTTATAGAAAAGCTACTTTAACTTACTATGTGCTTTTTCTTTCTCGGCTACTCACCAGACTGCTACGTTCCACCTCTGAAAATAATCCTCACCTCAGGATGCTGGACTTCTCGACAACTTCACAGCTACAGTTCTTGCTCTTTTCACTTGCCTGCCTGCCTCCCTGCTGCAGTAATTGGAACCACTTGGACCCAACCACTCCACGCTGTTTCTCCACCTGTGGCAAGTAAGCACCAACAACAGACTCTGTTCATGCCTGCCGCATTTCCTTGGACAACTTCTGAATCTGCCTCTCTCATTCCAGTGACTCTGACCTCCTTGGTTCCCACCTGACTTTCCCTTTGCCTCACATCACGGGAGCCCAGTCAGAGCAATGCTCTAATTATTCACGTTGTCTGCCTAGCTCCAGTTTTGCTTAGTGTTGTTTAGTATTTCCCGTTCTTGTCATAGCTCACGTTGACTTCATTATTCATTCTTCTAGTTAAAAATCACTCATTGTATTGTCTCACTGCGCTGTAAATAAATATTGTTTCACACATTTATCCACACCTCCATCTGAATTCAGCACTTGAGTCCTTTTCCTCTGATTTGGCAGTTTGCCATGACAGCATGCAGAAGAGCATGCAAGCAGCAGAAGACCACACCAGGTTGTAACTCCTAAGAACAAGTTGTGCAAATTCAGAAGCAGAAAACTGGAAAAACATTACCTCGTCTCAAGAGTCTCCATTTCTGTTGCGACATTCAGGTGGTGGGGTCATAATTTCATGTAGACAACAAAATTGGGACTTTTTTTTTTTTCTCAGAATTCTGGAAAGGAAGGAAAAAAATATATATATATTTTTTCCAGTGGCCCTAATCCTCTTCCGTAGATTGACTACTTTTTCTTTTCACATATTTATCTATTGCTAATACTTGCTGTGTTGTCTCACTCACGGTAACTATCACGTAATTTCTTCTTCATCTTCAGCGATTTTAATGGCAACACATTTAATTAGAGCAGGTAGTTGTACTGCCCTCTAGTGGAAGAGAATGTAATTGTTCTCCCCTTTACTCACGCCATTACTTAGAGTACTAATCAGGTGGAACCAGATAATCTTCCACAGCACACCTGATCATTTCTCACAGCACACCTATGTGCTGCTGCACAATAGTTAATAATAATAATAATAATGGATTGGATTTATATAGCGCTTTTCAAGGCACCCAAAGCGCTTTACAATGCCACTATTCATTCACTCTCACACACTGGTGGAGACAAGCTACGGTTGTAGCCACAGCTGCCCTGGGGCAGACTGACAGAAGCGAGGCTGCCATATCGCGCCATCGGCCCCTCTGGCCAACACCAGTTGGGTAAAGTGTCTTGCCCAAGGACACAACGACCAGGACAGAGAGCCCGGGCATCGAACCGGCAACCTTCCGGTTACAGATACGCTTCCCAACCCCCTGAGCCACGGTCGCCCCAATAGTTGGGAAACACTGATATAGACAACGAGAGCAAGTGGTTCCAGCACCTTCCTGATGCTGTGCAATGAAGAACTGAAGCAGTTTGAAAGGCAAAAGAGGGTCCAAATCAGCAGTGTGACGGTCTACCTTAGAGTGTCTGGTGAGTATATATTGCACAGCACCAAAGCCCTGCAATAGCCCAGGTTTGGGGATTTATTTCGTAGCCAGAAGGCGTTTGAGATTTTGAGATTACACTTCTGTTTTCTGAAGTGTAAAGCCTGTTGTTGATTCTGGGTGTGGTCCAGAAACACAATTTAAAGTTTAATGTTCTCTTCAAGCGAACTGGTGTATTCCCCTGTGTGTGCATCAGATGTGAAAACCATCCAGTCCACAGACTGAAAGCTGAATAATGGCTCTAGTTAAATGAGCTATCCTTAAGCTTTCTGGGTGCCACTTATCAGAGGTGTTGGTGCGGTCTGCAAGGGATACAAAATCTCTGCTTATTATTCAAAAGAAAGAAAATATTTAAAGGTAAAGATCTGTTAACAAAACAGAGTTCATTTAAAGGGGTTTTGATTTAGATTTTATCCTCTATGATGACTTATGATGATATATGTGCCGAGTGTGTGGTGAGAAATGGACCCACATGGAGGATGTGGATTCTCCAGATGGCAGAGAGTTTTGTTGACAAGAAACAGAAACAAAAAGCGCTCCACAGAACCGGCAGGATAAACCGTCTAATCCAAGCAGACAAAAGAAATGACTGAACTCAAGAAACTAAACTGAGATCAAAGGAAGCAAAAGAAAAAGGACACAAAACCTTGAAGGAACATGAGAGTGATGATGAATTATTTGACACTGCTGACCAGCAAGTGGAGAAATGTGAGGTATAAACACAGGTGAATGGTATTTCCCCAGACAAATCAGCCTTTATTGTTGATAATAATCATATTGACAGTTTACATTGTTATTTCTGACCTGTTAGCAGTTACTTTTGAGATTAAGATCTTAAATACAGAAAACACACAACAGCGTCTGGTTACTGACTGGTCTTTAGGCCTATGTGAACAAGGCCTTACATGCTGTTTCCTCATAAATAACAGATAGATAGATAGATAGATAGATAGATAGATAGATATAGAGATAGATAGATATAGAGATAGATAGATATATATAGATATAGTATGGAATGCCCTTTAGGAAAATATTATATATATATTCCAACCAAAGTCTGATTATATAGAATGAAACTTGAATATATAGAATGATCTTCTGAATATATAGAATGATCTT